TGCAGATCCTATGAAGTGCCAGAAAGACAATTAAGCAGGTCCTAGATGAAATAAAGCCTCTGGAAGCAAAATATGACAAAACTGAGCGATTGTGCTTTCATCACATCATCAGAAGACAGGATTCACAATAAAAGACAATAACACCGGGGAAAGTTGAAGGCAGCAGAAAGACAGTATAAAATGGATTGAATCCAAAAAGGAAGTAATAGCCTTTAGTTTGCAAATCCTGAGCAGAGTTTTTAATATCAGGAATTCTGGAATGTCACCATAACCGTATAGTCAGTAACATCTTTGTGGCACATAATAAGGACCTCTATTTCTGTACATTGCTATTCTAATATTTGCTTTTACTATTATTTCCACACTGTTTCACTACAGTGGAAACACTGTATTTTGAAGGCAGCTATCGTCTGCATGGCTGCCATCATAGCTAAATGGACAATGATTTATTTTGCCTCCACAAATTAGTCTAATTACCCTTTTATCAGTCACGCTAACCCAGGAGACATCTCTATATCTTGTGCCTCTAAATTTCATGAACAACTTGTGTAGGATGTGCTGTTCTGTTTTTTTGTTTCTCTGTTTGGAACCTACTGACAATTAATGTCATTGTTTCAATATTTAAGGCATCATCCTTTCAAGTCCGTTGCTGAAGAAAGCCTGCAGTTAGGGTGTCAGAAGCAAATTACAGCACAGTTGGGGCCATGACATACAACCTGCTAAGCAGAGAAGGTGAAAGCCAACATAGATTGAAAGAAAAACATGCCAGGCAAGAGGCTTGAATGGGCCATCAAATAGGCAAGCTTTGGGGGAAAGGAACTGCAGAAGAGTTACCCTACTCAATTACCACTGATGTTGTTATGCGATCGCAGTCAAACTCCTGTGAGTAGGACTATCATTGTGTGTTGATCTTGTCAAAAGAGTATTATTAGTCTCTAATGTTCTAGTGAGCTATCTCTGAGGAACACTAATTAATGGTTGAAAGACATGGTATTAGTTGTCTTTCCCTGTTGTTGAAAATAAGGGAAAGGTTCTGGCATGTGAAAAGGACAATAGTCTTGAATTTGAGGCAGATGGGGATGCAAGTCTTTGCTAGCTGCATCCTCACACACAAAGACAAAGAATTCTTCTCCTGGCCAATGTGGAAGATAAGGAATTTTCAAGTGATCTGAAGTGTTCTTGCAGTAGCAAGAGTCATGTTTTGGTGCACGACTGCATGATTTGTGTTGCTGCACCATTTACACAAAATTAGGGTGATTATTGCTCTTCACCATGGATGTTTAAGAATTTGAAGCATAGGATAGGTTTCTTGCATCTTTCCTCATAGTCCTACACTTGGTGGGTGTCTTTTGGTTTTGAAGGGTAAAGGGCACTAATATTATACAGATTGTGGGGACCTTAAAGGGAATGAAATGTCACTCTCTCACTCTTGTGGGTCTTGAAAGTTCCCAATCAAAGTGCCTTGTCAAGTCAAGACAGCTGAAATTGATGAGGGCAAGAGATTTCTTGGTAACTTTTGTATGCCTAAAAACAGATGTGGACACACAGAGATCTGAGTTTAGTCTCTGTAAAGATTTTATAGTTGACTAGATAGCTCAGTGGTTTAGGTATCTGGTTGTGGAGTCAGAAGCTGGGGGTTTAATTCCCCACTTTGCCTCTTGCAAGTATAGCCAGTCTGTGTGGCCTTGGGTAAGCTGCACAGTGACAGGGTGCCCCCAGAAGATGGGAATGGTAAACCACATCTAAGTAATATCTACCTGGGAAACCTGGGAAAGGTTGCCATAAATCAGAATAGACTTGACAGCACATGAAGATGATTAAATATCTTAAGAGTGCAGGCTGTAACCCACAAGACAAGAGTAGGCATAGAATGGGAAGAAATGTCACTCACATCACATTTATATGGGCTGCCGTGGCAGGACAACCTGTTTAGGATTCCCGAGCCCACACACGAACTGGGAGACTGAGAAGCCAAGTGTGACAAAGAGATAAAAGTGTAACGCTAGTGTGACACACAAGATGTGCTTTCCCCATCCTCTTCTATGGAGTTGATACAAAATGTGCTTTTTTGTTTAGCATCTCAGGCAGAAAACAGGCCCTGATTTACATCCTTAGGTAAGCATAATAGTACAGAAGGTGCTCTTGGTAGACTAGTGACACTGCCCATTCAGGCACTAACTTTAACATTGCCCTTGTCAAATACTAACAAAATGACTGACTGTAGGATCAGGGAGTTTTGGTGGGGAAGGATATGTATTAGAAGGCAGGCCTGTGTACAGGCCCTTGCCTTTCCATAGGCTGAAAAAATCATTCAGCCTGGGTAATGATTATGAAATAACTCCCAGGAAACTTATGCATTTGTGCTTATATGTTAAAGCCATTCTCCTAAATGGGAATGCAGTCTTCCTGGGCTGGCCGGGGTGGTGCTTAAGGAGGTGTGAAGTTTTAATTTCTGCTCCTTTCATGGAGCTGTTGCTTAACAGCCTTGAAATGCAAAGCCTGTTGTGTCTTGTTTCGTGTTTTTTTTTTTTAAACAGTGAAAGGCCAGTACTTCTCCGTGCCTCTTTGTATCCATTTCATCCCAGATTCTCACCAGAACCCCCCCCCACACACACAAACCTTTATTCTTATAAGGGAACCATCCAAAAAGCACATCAACTCCAGAATGTTAAACAACAATGAAACTAACAAGGTTTCTTTCATTATGGCACCATTGTCTTGCAGTTGTTGCAATTCTTTTAGTCAAGGCTAAAAAGACAAAGAAAACACGTGTGTGTGTGTGTGTGTGTGTGTGTGTGTGTGTGTGTGAGAGAGAGAGAGAGAGAGAGAGAGAGAGAGAGAGAGACTGCAAAAGCCACATAGTAAGTGGAGATTTAATAGTTTCACATAAAGAGCTGGATGTGTCTCCATTTGTTTGTCTTTAAATATAAAGCCTAATTCCATCTGCTTCAGAATGCTTAAAAAATACAAATGCATGAAGCATTTGTTCTGTTTTTCACGGCATCAGTGAATCTAGCTCTTACTAATCTTTACAACATGTATTTTTCCTTTGCATAGCAATATTGCTTTAGATTGGAGTGATTGGATGAGTGTGCTGGCCCAATTGACTGCCTCTAGTTTTTCCTCCTTAAGTTTTTTAATGCTTCTTTGGATTGGCTGGTCACGGTTAGGCTTATTCAGACTGAAGAAGGGAACAGCATTTTAAAGGAACATACAGATGGTACAGCATCGTCAGGAAAAGCAAACACAATGCAGAACAAGAGTCTGAAATGGTCAGACTTTCATTCTCTCCAATAAAAGCATAAGGTAAGTAGGAAGGCGGATCATAGAGACTTCTCCTCACTAACAATTATCCTCAGTACTCCAGCATTATCAACTATATGCCTCCTCTTTTCTCTGTAGGGGATGAATGCATAGCGGGATTACAGGAGGGTGTGTGTATCTCAGTGGATAATGAATGTGAATGTGACTTTACACACAGGGAAAGCGTTGCAGGGCAAAAAAGCAGCCCTAGGGCCACATATGGCGGTCTCTAATTGTTTCTCTGGCTCCCGCTCTCCCCTGGATCCCCTTTTCCTGCCAGATCAGACTGAATTGCTGCTCCTAGAAGGATTCATGAGTGGCAATTTGCCTTTCAAATACCTCATAGGAGTTTTTCACACCTATTAAACACCCCATGATGCCAGTTCTTCAAAATCAGAAGTGGACTTCCATTGACATCTCTCTCTCTCTCAATTGCTTTCTCTCTCTCTCTCTCTCTCTCTCTCTCTCTCTCTCTCTCTCTCTCTGTGTTTGTGTGTGTGTGTGTGTCTGTGTGTGTGTGCTTGCCCACATGGCCACCAGAGAATCTAAGTAGTAGAAAATTGGCTCCCAAATCCTGTTGAAGTTGCTCCCAACATAACAAGACACTCCTTCCGTCTGTTATCCAAAATCACACTGTCCTTATCAGTTTGGAAAATATGTGTTGCTGTTATCTCACATTCCTCACGGGGAATGACATAACTGCCAGGTTCATCGCAAATGATCATGCTATAACCACTAGATCCAAAGTGGATTTACTTAAGCATACTGTACTTAAATCATAAATTTTAAGTGTAATCACATGGTCATTAATTCTGCTGCGAGGACAAGTTGGTTTGCTCCTTTTGCCAGCGATTTCTTTATTTATTTATTTATCAGATTTTTATCCCACCCATCTAGACAAAGGGTGAATGATCAGATGATATAATTGGCGGAGTGA